TTTTTAGTTTCGTGTTCGCGGATCACATTGAATTGATTCATTATTGATTGGGAATCGATTCTAGCGGTCCTCGAATTTTTCTTAGAAATGGCAGTTCGTTTTGGTTGTTCATGGGCAATACCGATCATCGTGTAGCAAACACTAGTCATCCATATACAATGTGGCAAGTCGGCAATTCGTGCTCCCCATTTTATCCTACATGAAAATAAAAACATCCTCGAATAGATAATTAAAAAAATCCATTGGATGATATAGAAATACGCAACTGTGAAGTCTCATGCGAGCGAGCAATGCGAGCCTAAAATTTGAATTAGAAATCCTAAAAATTGGTAAAAACTGGTTGGCCATGGAGTGACGTGTCGCACCTGCTAGGTACCTACTAGTCAGGAATCTGGGTATCATAAAGACGCTTCTAAAATAGTGCCACCTGCACTCGAACATACACAATTTTCAAATTTAAAAATACTACGTATCTTGTGCAGAATTAGATGCCGATTTTGAATCAAAAGGGCGCGATGGTCGCAGGGATTGCAAATAGTCAGAAAAAAATAATTAGTAAAAAATTTCGCACTTTCCAAAAATTAGAAATTTTACGTTTACATCGCATTTCTGAAGTTATTTAAGAATGTTGTTCAAGAATTTGGGTACCATTCGAAAGCTCATTCGTCATTGCATGTTCCGTCTCACGGAACAAAAAGAAAGTTAATGTTGCGCGTTAAAGCTGTAAATGCGCGAGAAGTGTAATAAAAATTTCAGTAGCGAGGTATTTTCGTTATTATGGGAGATAGAGGTATACATATACGAGACAAAATATGTAGAATGAAACAAGGTAGTTTTTTTACTAAAACGTTTTTTCACTCAGAAAAACCGTTTAAGAAATGTAATAGGTTAAACATTAATAGAAATGTAACAGGAGCACGTCAGAATAGCAATACTACTGACACATGTAGGTACCCTGCCGCATAAATTTGTCTACGATCTACGTGTACACAAAATCTCTATCATATAGGTCTGTCTGTCGGTCTGTATGTCTCTCATTTCCGACTAAACAGTTGAATCGTTTTGAAACAAATTTGGTACACATATTCTTAGACATAAAATAAAGAGCTGTAAAGCTTTTGGGCAGAATTTAATTACGGCGTTTATTGTTTTACAAATAATTATGAATAAATTTATAACAGTCATAAAATGGGTTAACTTATAACGGTAATTAATATTTATCACTCACTATTTATAACATAACTCAAGCGGATCTATGTTGGGACTGCACTCAAAACGCAGTTCGATTTGCTTATATAGCAAACAACATTCTTTCTAGAATGTTCTTAGAAGATTCTCGAGTAGTGAAAAGCGCTTCAAAATGTTCTCGAACAAACACGTCATATTTCTAGGAAATATTACGGCACATCCGTCTGCGTTCTTTATCGCTGATGACTAATCTTTCATGGCACCTCGATGTCTATCGAAATTTATGGAATGTTCTCCACAGTATTTTCGTATTACCTAGACTTAACGCAAAATGCGGCATCGATCCTCACAATAACAACTAATAATACATGGTAGAAAGCATAGGATGAACAACACTCCCCGTTTTCCAAATATGTAACTAATATACTGCTCTTAATAAATAGTTATGGAAAGAATCTTCCGTGAGTGGTAAGTTTCTGATATCAGTTTTGCAACTGTGAAATAAATGAACCCGCAAACAGTTCAAACTGACAATGAAATCGAGTCTAGCATACAATATTTCTAAAAAGTATAACGAGAGCAGCGTTTTTGAAATGAAATGATGTCAGAACTATCAGCAGATGGATATTCTAGTAATGGCTGTAATGGTGGACCATTTAAATATTTCAAGCACATGCAATAGTTTTCCCTTTCCTAAAAAGAAAACCAGTAGTACGTGCATTACATAGTTCCGTAGATTTCCATTTTCAAGTCGTTCATCTGAAATGTGAACGAATGTATTTTCTGTCTTATTATATTTTTGACACTTCGACAATCCTGTAGGTCCTTTGCTGCAAATGTTCCACTGTCAAAAATGATGGTTGAGGAACTGGTCAGACAACGAAAGAATGTGGTAGCCCCGACAAGATCTCACTGAAATTTTTCCTTTGACTATCATCTCACTTCAACCACGAAAGGGTGACCTACTTACGCTACAAAAGATTGTCCTGCACCATTAAATAACTTTTCGCTCAACGCCTGTACCTACTTAAACTTAATTGAAAATAAATGACGGACTTCTCTGTGTAGGTACTATTTTACAATAATAGCTATTTATATATCAAGTACATAAACTGGGTCTTTATGGACGAGCCATTTATTTAGGCGAGCGAGCTTGCGAGCGAGGCACAAATAAACAAGGCGAGTCCCCATAAAGCCTATTTATGGACGCGATATATACAAAGCTTTATGTACGACTGCAACAACCCTTAAAAATGAAAATTTCATGGAATTCAATAAACGATAAAATCTATATATCATTGACAACAGATGTCAAGCATTTGTCAAGTATTTCTAAAATACTTGAATTTACCTTGGATTGACACCTAAGTACCTACGACTGTCACATTGACAGGCGGCCGTTTTACTTTATCATTATGGACTAGGCCATAATATTGCAAATTATGGCCACTAATTGCGACTGTAATCACCGCATTATCAAGCAGTCGTACATAAAGACCTTTTCTTAGTGTAATTATTATTCATGTAGCCATTGTTGTTTTATGAATTGCTACTAATAAGAATAACAGAAATGTTGAAATTTATTTTTAAATTTGCGGGTTTACCAAAAGCATAATGAAACATGTAAAATCAGTTTTGTATGCACCTTTTCATACTGAACAACTTTAAACTCTACTACAGTTTTTTCTGTAAAATGTACAGGAGGGCAGGATATTGCATAAAACTAATTTCCCATGTTAAATTCCCATGTTCCTACTTACCGTGCACCACCCGGTATAACATTGATAACTTTGCTTTCCTTATTGTGTGTGTTTTACTTTTCACTCTGCGTGATCATTGTTGTAACAGAAACCATAGCGCCAAACTTGAAACTGCCATAGAAAGATTGTTACATTGTACCAAAGAGTATGGGTACTCTTATATAATACCTACCCATATATATTATTACCTACCTACGAATACCTACATAACTCACGCCGCTGTCTGTACCGCTATAATAATGATACGGAACGCATAACCAACTAAGTTACAAAAGTAGGTAATTGTAAACGATTTACAAAATGCGCATTTTCACAGTTTTTTCCGAAAAAATTAGTCACAAAAAATGTATGATGACGATCCGTTATTTGAAAAGCACCCTCTTTTAAAACTTCGGAAAAACATACAGACAGACACACTGTTCAGTCAAATCAGAAATTACTTTTCTTTTATTAATTGGTGTAAACTTAAATTAATATAAATAACAAAACTCAATCGCCATACGTCGTCCAGTCGTCCTCCCAGCTTAGAATTTGCTGCTCCGCAATGGAGAACGTCAGACGATAGTCTTCCGTACATGGCATCGAATCTTTTCCGTATCTTTTACACTTTAGCTGCTAAACGCACAGAGGCATGCCTCAAATCGGTCAATCATACAGCACTTTAAAACGCGTCGTGGAAAGTTTACGTTGTCCTAGAGTGTTTCATTATATGGAACTGCATGCATTGAAAGAATACAACGAAGCAGTGGTGTAGTGCCAAATTTAGCAGTGCCGGAGCTCTTAAAATGTAGGCAACCAAGGGATCGAATACACCCCCCCCCAAGCAAAATTGGGGTCCAGAAAAATTTTTAAAAATTTGTAGTAAAATAAATGGGTTTTGAAACAATTTCAGTTCGTAGATTTTTGAATAAATTATTGCTCTAAAGGTGTAAGGCTTATCTAAGTCGCAAATATCATTAGGTATCATCACTTATATTAACTCCGTCTCCTATCCTGTGCCGGAGCGCCGCTCCCCTCTCACAAGCAGTGCCGGAGCAGCGCTCCGCTGCGCCCCGGCTCCACTACACCACTGCAACGAAGGTTTTTAAAATATATATCTTATAGATTAGATGGGTTTTATACCCCCAAAGAGGTTTTCCAACTGCTAGTCTCCTTCAAAGATTTGACATATTGTCACTGAAATGTCGCAGAGAAATTAATAGTATAACATTTTTGTTTGGCTTAATCAATAATTTAATTGATCGTCCGCACTTATTAGCGGGCCTAAACTTCACCGTTCCGATGCGCATTCTAGAAATGCTAGTACCATTACAAACCCCACTCCTAAATCTAATTTGTTGCGCAAAAACCCGTTATTTATAATCTTATAATTTTAATTTAATTTCACAAAATTGTGATCTTCATTACAGTTCGTTACCGGCAATGTTACGCTCGGTTAGTAACATTAACAGTAATTAATTTTAATATTTTCATAGAACATTATTTGTCGTATAATCAATTATGATTAATTAAACTTTTGGTATTATTAGTCGCACTTAGTAATTATTCAAGAGGGCCGATAGATAATTTTTTTTCTTTTTCTTTCTTTTGTTTGATTTTTTTGTTGTTATTGGTTTTGGTAGTTTAAGTACTGTTATCAATATTATTACTAGACATATTTTTTTATATTTGATTTATTTTTAACTCTGGGCTGTCTGGCAAGTTGTAAAATGTTGTATTTGCTCTGAAATTGGAAAGGTTATGTCTTTCTGTTGAGCAAATAAAGGATTATTATTATTAACTGTAGAGGCAGATACACGTGCCTCGCGCTTTCGTATTGTGACGCGCATCAAATTACAGAGCAAATTCGTGGACAAATTTTAATTTAATTTATTGTTCGATTCAAATTTATGATTGCGTTACATCATTGGACAAGCCGCCACTCGTACAGTAAACGAAATGCTCCATTTTTTATTCACAATACATAAAGCAAAACAAAAAATTTAAGTTGACCTACCTTGCCTTGCCCCAAAACTTTTGTAAACTAGTTTCCTGGTAAGAAAATAAACGATACAGTAATTAAAAACTATATTTATAACTTTTCCTAAGTTACATACTATGTTTGCACAAAATTTATGACAAAAGAGAACTAACTTAATATCTGGTAGAGGTTCACAGCCAAAACAGCTCTCACGTAACTTTATCCAAGGAATGGTAACAGGTGGAATTGTTGCCCCATATATTTCTTGGAAGATGGTTATCAATTTGAAGATTCTGTTTCACCATTATTCTTATAATCTTCTCTAAAGATTACCTATTGACACACTACATGTAACAATTACATCCCTGTTCAAGACCTACTACCTCTGGCACCGTCAATTGGGATTGTGTGCAGAACTTCATCCAACAGCTGGAGTGCTCTGTGTAGGTGAACTTCAATCCAACAAGGAGTTTCTTTTATGGATTGCCGTGGATAATCTGGCCCCCAACCTTTCACAAAGCTAAGTCGCAAAATACACAGACGCCTTAAATCATCCACTCCTATACCGGCAGCCGAAGACAAACTAACTGCCGGAGCGATTCCACCTACAGAATGTGGGCCCGGAATATGGCCAGCAACTGCAGCAGCTTGAGCGGCAGCTGCTGCCTGAGCAGTAGAAGCTTGAGATGTCATTTGGTGATGGCACTGTCGTAAATCGAAAACCTACAATTGTGTATATAAACATCTACTGTACATCATGTAACAGCTCCACCTTTATATAGGCCAACGGGTAAATCTTATGGACCGCGTCACCTGGAGCGCGTCCAGCTTCCCTATCTAAGTAATAACTCTGTACAAAAACTGGATGATCACTTAGGCATAGTAACCAAACATCTCCTTCCCCTCTCAAATCTAACTGGACACCTTTGCCGATATGTAACCTGATAAAAGGGTAGACACTACAATTTACATTATTAAGGGGCAGAGCAAAGCGATGCAAGCTTCAAAGGGAGTCGATGGTGTCACGCCCCTCTCTCTCTCTCTCTCTCTGCGAAACCTATTTGGTTCAAACTTTGTACAGTTGACCTGTATGCCACATGTAACAAGTCTATTGAAAATGGGTCAAATCCAATGACCCCGTAGGGTTACACCAAGGTACTCTGCCGCTTTTTTAGATTCGCTTTAGGGGTTTTTCTTACCTGGCCTTTTCACTCTGCTCCGTTCGATGAACATTGCTGAGAGCGCCAAGACAAAAGCGATTTCCTCCGGATGGATCCACATACCCATCCACTGTCACAGTTCGACAACTGGAGGGAACCTTAAAAGTTTCACCCACTTGAGTATCCAATTCGAAGTATGCGACTGAACACCAGTACTCGGGGGCGGGTTGATTTGAAAGTAACCTGCCAGTCGTGCCCATATCATTGGCAACTCGATTATTATGATTCCCTAAAATCAATTTTACACGCTATGCTAAAAAGATGAGTTTCATACAATAAACAGCCGGTTGTAATCTGTTGTCAGGTGGCTTCATTGATTGAGTGTAAGTTAAAGTGTTGGAACCAGTCCACATGCCTCCTACAGTAGTAGTGGGTTGCGAAGCTATAATTTGGCGAGTATTGTTTGGGGGCCGGTTAAAACCATTTTGGTGCGTGACAACTGGTGCGGTTCCACCTGGCGAAAATTGTTGGTGCTATTGTGTAAGAGAGTAGCCATTTGAGATATTTACCTAAAGGCAGCGAAGAGGTTTCCAGGTTGCTTCTGTCCGTTAATTGACCAGGATTTGAAGTAGGGTTGAAAAACTGACGCTGAGCATTGTGGGGGGGTCCGGGAACGTGGACAGGTGGCCCTGTGTTGTCAGGTGGTTGTTGTGGATGTAAATTTAGTGCTTGGTTGCTGCTTGGTGGAGTATGTTGATGAATTGGTGTCGTTACATTAGCTGAACATTTTAAAATTATTTAAAATGAAACAAGTGGGTGATTAAAGTAAAGCTTACAAAGAGGTGGATGAACATGCGTAGGTAACCAGTTAGGTCTTGGAGATGTGTCAAGTCCATGTTCAAGTTTGGGAACTATTGAAGGTTGTCCTAATAGAGGTCTGTTTGGTGCAGAGTACAGAGCAGTATTTCCTACAGTAGAAATGAAGATAAAGAACGCAAACAAAATCAAACATGTAGACATACAACTGAGAAGTTATCCACTGTGGCATTCAGTGCACAATTATTATTAGGCAATACTATCAAAAACGGGTCCGGTATATTTATTGGAGGGTGTGGAGTATTCTGTGGCATCTTACAGAAAACAAATTTACCCATATGTTGCAAGTGACTTTCTTGCTTCAAAATTGAGTTCAAAATTGATTAAATAATGTAGTTTTTTTCAGCAAACAATCGTGTGAAAAATGGACCCCCTGAATGTTTATTTGATATGCGAACAGTTTAACCAAATTTAGCAATTTGTTGAGCCATTTATTTTTAGGGGGAAAGTAATACAGTAATACACATACACTTTATTAGCATTGTATATAATATACAGTGTGTCAAGCGATGGGGTATCCAAGAGGAAATTTTTTTAAAACATTGATTTATGAAAAAAATTTATTCTTCATATTTTTTGCTTGCTTTGAAAGTACCAATAACGTTTCGATTGTTTGTGGTTTGATAGCAATACGCTATCTTGATTATAATGTGATATGATGTAATGATAACTTTCTATAAAAAAAATTAATTTTATTATTTTTCCAGATTTCTATAAATAAATTTTAGATTATCGAAACGTTATTGGTACTTTCAAAGCAAGCAAAAAATATCATGAAGAATAAATTTTTTTCATAAATCAATGTAAAAAAATTCCCTCTTGTATACCATCGCTTTACACACGGTATTACTCGAAATATTATTGACATTACTGGATTTACTTTGTTGAATAAGACTTAATTGTCATTCAGTGCACACATTTTCTACCTACTAAATCAAGTGAAGGGTTTATCGAGTAGTGCAAGAAGTCATCACTGTATTTCCTCTGTGTGTTTACTCTACCGCTACACTCAGTCTAAATAAAACACAAATACAAGAAAGATACAGTCACCAGTAAATTAACTATCAACCCAAATCGTTCACAAACCTGCCGAATTTTGTTGAAGATTGCTAAAATTGAAATTTTGTTGTGGAGGATGATGTTGAATGGTTTGTGAGGTTTCCATTTCTCCATTATCTTCTACAACGCTACCGGATATGGGTGCAGCACCAGCCGTGTATTCGTCCTTAACGATCGGTAAGGACCCAGACTGTAGTGTTAATCCAGATAAGTCAATACCAGGAGAAACAACCCTTTCGTAATGATATGGGTTGACACATACAGAATCGCACTTCAAATCGAATGCAAATTGGCAGTATTTAACGTGCTTTAATTCGTTTTTATGCAAGTCGGGCCATCTCCAAATTCGAGCATAAATTACATGTGGGAATCCTTTTCTACCGGCTACCTTTAGCAAACCAAATGTGAACATTTCGGTTAAGAATTTTTAAAGTTAATACCTGCAGTCGGCCGTCTAACGTTCGTTGTATTGTGACACACTTGGTTGGATGAGCCCCATTTGTGGTAATGGCAGTGATGAGAGAATCAAGTTCGTCTCGTTTTTCCTTCAGTTTCTTTACAAGAGATTCGATAGCCCTCTTAGAAAATCCCTCACTTTCTCCCCCTTGTCTGTGACACAGTAAACTGTGAACAATGCTCAAACACGCGTCGGCTGATGTAGGGGCATTAATAGATAAATTGGCCATGCTAAAATACAACATTCAAAATAGTAAACACTTAAAACACTGCACTTTTACTGCACTTTTATAACATAACCTCATTTTCATTATGCACTTAAATGTGGCTAAAGTAGCGAATTACGGTCATCTACGAGGGTCGTCCCAGAAGTATCTGACCTACTTCATTAATTATTATTAATTAAGGTTGCACTCACACTAACTTAAGGTTTTATTGATATTTGTATCGGTAAAAGCTAATAACGGGCGATCAAAAAAGGATTGACGTCGAGTCACCTTTGGAAGTTCCAGTTAAATAAATGATATGTAAACAAAAATTCCACAGGTGACTCAACAGTCTACAGCAACTTTTTTTGATCGCATAGTACCTATGTGACTGATATTTTGACAATAAAATAATTTACCGTTAGCGGGTTTCGAAAAATCTAAATGCAATCGCGTCCATGGTCCCCGTGCGTATTCCCCTGGCAGTAGGTACTGAAGGTTTCTTAGGCATCGGTCTCACTTCTTGAAAACTTGAACACGTACTAACTTATTCATCGTGATCCATCTTCGGCCACTAGACGTAAGATCGGTTCCTTCATCTTCAGCATGCCTGGGTGCACTGCGTGAAGTATTTTTACTACTCTCTTTCTCACCTCTTGGTGAAATCAACACCCTGTTGCCTCAAACAATGCAACCTTGATAAAAAGAGAGTACTTTTTTCTTTGGAAAAGTGGTTGACACTCTTGTGAAAAATCTAGCCTTTCCAAAGCCATTGAACCTTGGGCAAAGTGGTGTCTTTGACGCTCTGCGGCCATTTATTTAGTTTCGAGAATTTTGTCTGGCATGTTTCCTAGCATGAGCACTTCCAAAGCTGGTGGCAGTTCTGGTGCGTATAATGAAGTGTCTTCCATAACAATAGTCTGTAGAAAGATAAAAGACCACTGATCTACTGGTAACCCCTTATTTTGGGTTACAAATCAAATCAATTAATTTATTGGAAATAAATCGAGTTCCTAAAGGTACACTATATGCCACAATGTAATTAGACGACGATAAAGGATAACATTGCATTCTATTTCTTGCTGTTGCTTCTAAACTGAACGTTATTGTAAATTAGAGCGTCAAATCACATCTATAAATGTGTTATAATTCTTAATATTGCCCGAGACAGTGCCTAATTAAATATCGTTTTGGATGTTTCACTGAGGCATGCGTACATTTTGATTTCGTGTTTGGTTGCCTTTTAACATGAAAATACCGAATTTGCAATTAGTTTTAACAAATTAAAAAAAATACCTTACTTTTTCAAAGTTTTTATAGCATATAATTTTGGATTCAGATCGGTCGGTATTGGAAAAAATAGTATAGGTAAGTAACACTGGTTTAAACTAGTTTTTGTTCCCTCAAGAATATTAAAGCCCTTGGCAAGCCTCGGACTTTAAACCGTTCTTTCAGTAACAAAAACTCTTTTTAATCCCTTGTTACTTAATATACTATTATTTCAGTTTACGATTGACTGCGTTAATTAACGGGTTGCAATCCCTGAAGGAGAACTTCAAAATCTTGCAATTACACCGTTCAAACATCGCTCAACTAAACTGCTAAACATAGCCTTCTACCAACATGTTCGTAATGAAAAGGAAGTGAAAAGTTAACCAAATAGATAAAATATAGTAAATCAACATCCATAGAGAAAGCTTATAGAAGCTTGAACTTAAGTGTTCAGGGCGGTGACTTGCGTAACGCATCATAGGGATTCCAATCTAAAATGCATAACATGCGATTATTGGCTCCCCCAAATTATTTTAGAGCAAAAATGTAGGAAAAAATTTTTTACGTCAATCAACTGTATTAGTTTTCAATTTTTTGCATAATAAAAACGGAAAATTGGAAAAATAAGACCCGCATCTTTTTCAATAATCTGTGATGCCATGGAATGTGTGCTATAAAACAAATCAAATTCTATCAAAAGGTGTTATATTTAGAACAGCGAATTCAACATAAAGGAAGACCAAATTACTAAAAACGGTTTCCTAATATAACATTTTGCAATAAATGTTAGAATGTTCGAATAAGTCACCATCGTAGATTATTGAAAAAGATGCGGGTTTTATTTTTCCAATTTTCCGGCTTTATATGAAAAAAATCGAAAACTAATACAGTTGATTGGCGTAAAAAAAATTTTCTACAACAAACGAATACATTTTTGCTCTAAAATAATTTGGGGAGCCAATAATCGCATGTTATGAATTTTACATTGAAATCCCTATGATACGTTCTGCAAGTCACCACTTTTATAATTGTTTAAGCTCATGCACTATAAAACAACGGCAAATATCATGGCTTGCTTAAAGGTCCCGGAAGGGAGCAAAAACGCGTATTTAGGCTAAAACATATATTGTGCATAAGGGGTAGTTTCTTCATAGATTCACCACTACATTTGCGTTTTTCACTATTTTGTTTATCGTAATAACTCGGGCAACAAAGAAAAAATGTAAGTCGTACTTTCAATACCCGTTATGTAATACATTTTGCCATCGTCCAAAATGTTTTGTAAAATTTTACTTAAATGAACATTTACCTTTAGCTATAGGTATACGGTTCTATCGTGGGATCCGATTCTAGCGAGCGAGTTCCTACATCCTTTCGGGCTTTGTATTGTATCGTCGATTCTCTTACTGTGGATACTCTTTGGCTCGAATTTTCCACAATTCTGTTGAAACTGGAACCAAAGGAGTAACCCCTCAGAACTAATTCCCTAGGTAGCACTTAAATTATAATCATCTTATCATCTTTGTAATTACTAATATATACTTTGCTTTGCTGACTGTTCCTTTGTAAAAGAAAATCGAAGGCCCTTGTGAAATCTCCATTTGGAAACTTCTCCTTTACAATGGATTTAATTGTTGGTATGCTCTTGTAAAGCGGTAAACTTGTAAATGCTTATCTGACTTTTTTCTTCTTCCGATTTTATTAAAGTAGGATAAGTTGTATTCTTTAAAATCTGATAACTTTATAATTCTGTAAACTTCTTTCTAATGAATTATATTTATATTATTAGTAAAGTGAGCGTTACTTTGTCTTTTGTACTTAGTGAAACATGCGTTGTAAATTTAGGCGGAAAGGTTGTAATCAACTTGATCGGGTGTTCAACAAAATCGCCCCGGAAAATTAACAGTCACGCCGTTGTATAATTGGCAATCAATTTTCCAAATTGCATACTTTCCATATTCGCATATCAATAGAAAAGCAATTATCTTTCTTATTCGATAAAATGTAGGTAATCCAATAGCGTAAGCCTTCATTATCATTTCCGTTTTTACCTTTCATTTCACCTGTCATTATCGAATCTAAATAGGTAAGTCAAATTATTGGAATTGTAAATAATCAAGTTAAACGGAATGCCGGCTGTGAAAATAGATTCTCGCTCATTTTCAATTTCCTTTAATTTAAAAGTAATTTATAAGTGATCTGCGAAAAGCCATCAGTTGACTTTTTGGGATTCCTAAATGAAGTTCACTTTGTGATTTATTGACAGTTTGATTAGATAGTTCTAAGAATTTTCAATCAAACTCTGGACGAAAACTGAGTCTTTTTATCGGCGAAAGGGAAAAAGAAAATTGCCGTCATTAATGAATACTGCTCTATATCCCTTTTATCTGAATATAACATTAAAAGGTGATTACATAGAACATGAATTTTGTTTTGTTCGTTCCCTTTTGTATTCAAAGGGAGCGTTGTGAATGTGCCGGTTCTTTATAAAAGCTGCGGTTTGTGAGTTTGGAATGGTATAGGTATATTATTGCATCTGATATAACGTCGCCCTTTCCGTTTATATCTTTAAATTATGGAGTTAGTTGCGTATTTTGTTTATATAGGTACCTAAACGCTGACAAACTTTTCGTTTTAATTTATTCTACAATACAGAATGTGAGATAATTACCTTTGATAAGTACACCTATACAAAGTAGATAAAAAAATACATTCATTCTAAACAGTAAAAAAAAACTATTTTAACAGCTCCGTCTTTTAGCCACTTTTCTGCATCATCTCACACTATTCCTAATAGTAACTCTGTTCATATTTTCTTTCTACAACCAAACCCCTTCTTTTCAAGTTTTACACATATTTTTTTCTGAAACTACAATCAAAATTGAAAAATTATCGTATGCAATAATGAAGTTTGACACATAGCAATCTAGATGGAGTATATTTCAATTTTAAATGCCATTATTAAGATTAACACAGCAATTGTTTTTTACTTTCCCCACTAGAGAAGAAAATTGCATTTTCTTCACCATTTTTAGGGACGAAAGCATTTCTTTCTAAAGTAGTTTCAGAAAAATAAAATTAACTCGGCCGCAATATAAAAGAAACATTAAATAACAAATATTGTACTACTAACAGAAATATAACTTGAAATTAATTTTAAATGCATTTAAATGAAATTAGTTTAGGTATATTGCCGTATATTCCCAACCTCTCGATTAGCGACCCAGACATTTTTGGATTATTGGGTTGTTTACTGTTGATGATCGTTGAGATTTACACTTCCTGTAAATATCGATTGAAATTTTTCTGATTACGGTAAATCTACGGTGAATATGCGTTTTCGAATACGGAATAGTAATGATCAGCCCAGGTCCGGTATCGTTAATATCTTCCACAGTCACCTTGTATACAGTTTTTCACGACGGAGGGCACCCGCGATTCCAAAATGAGAGCGATCTGTAAACGACAATAGGTACATAGTGAAGCGTATAACAAACGGTCAAATTCTTAATACCTTGTGCATTAGAAAATGTTCATCAGGAGCATATTGTGAAAGAACTTGTACATTTCATCCCAAGCAAATGTTCTTGATTTTTTGGATTTGTTGCCAACGGACTTGTTTTTCAAATAAGCAATTAGCTTTGAGTATTTTCGTATATCCACATTATTATTGATTAACAGAAACTCTTTAGATACTATCTTTAGTTTGGAATTGGTCGACAAAGTATTGGCGGCTTCCATTGTTTGGATTTTTCGTCAAAATAACATAATAAAACCCTACCACTAAGTGTTTTTC